AAGTGCACTCATGTTGTCGTGCAGCCATCACTGCTATCCGTTCTCCAGAAGTTTTTCATCATCCCAAACTGAAACTCTGTACCCACTGAACAGTAACTCCAAGTCCTCCCCTCCCCTCGGCTCCTGATAACCACTATTCCACTGGCTGTCTATGAATTTGGCAACTCTACATACCTCATATAAGAGGAATCATACAATATTCCTCATTTTGTGTGGGGTATATTTTATTTAGCATAATGTCTTTAAGGTTATTATTGCATGAATTAGAATTTTATTCCTTTTTAAGGGTGAATGAGATTCCATTGTGTGTATATACCACATTTTGGTTATCCTTTCATCTGCCAATTAAATTTGGGTTATTTCTATCTTTTGGCTATTGTGAATAATCTTACTATTGATGTACAAATATCTGTTCATTTGAATCCAGTCTACTGTCCAGAAAAATAAAATAAAATATCTGAACTCATGGTAGCGGCAGCGGCAGCTGCTCAGGCGCGGTGCGGTGGTGACTAAGCTAAGCACCTGGCGGCGGGTGTGCACCGAGCCCCGGCCCGGCCCCCGCGTGCCTCCCAGGCTCCACAGCCCTGATGCTGAGCGGGTGCTGAGCCCGCTCCGGCCGCGACGATGGTGAAGTATTTCCTGGGCCAGAGCGTGCTCCGGAGTTCCTGGGACCAAGTGTTCGCCGCCTTAGGGCAGCGGTACCCGAATCCCTGTGGCAAACATATCTTGACGGAAGACATAGTACACCGGGAGGTGACCCCTGGCCAGAAACTGCTGTCCCCGCGACTCCTGACCGAGACCGAGAGGATGCCCCGCTGGGCTGAGTGGCTGTTTCCTGCCAGTGTTGCTCACTCGGTGGACATACATACTGGAGGACTCTGTTGTGGACCCACAGAATCAGAGCGTGACCACCTTCACCTGAAACATCAACCACGCCTGGCCGATGGTGGTGGAGGAACGATGAGTTGACTGTGAACTCTGTCAACAGTGGCTGGACCGAAATCTGCCGGGAAGCGAGGGTCTCCTCTAGCTTATTTGGTGTCCTCAGAGCTGTCCGGGAATTTGGTCTTGCCCAATTCAAAGGCAACGTGACCAAGACCATGAAGGGTTTTGAACATACCTTGGCGAAGCTGCAAGGCGAGGCCCCTTTCAAAACACTTATTGAGACAGGCAAGGAAGACAAGGAGAATGCAAAGGAGACGGCACTGGCAGCTGCAGAGAAGGCCAAGGACCTCACCAGCAAGGCGGCCGCCAAGGGGCAGCAGCAGCAGCAGCACTTTGTGTAGCCAGCCCACCACCACCACAGCACCCCAGACAGTTCTCTGCCCTCCCTCCATTGTACCTTATCATTGAAAATCAACTTCCGGCCGGGCGCGGTGGCTCAAGCCTGTAGTCCGGGCACTTTGGGAGACCGAGGCGGGCGGATCACAAGGTCAGGAGATCGAGACCATCCCGGCTAACACAGTGAAACCCCAAATCTACTAAAAATACAAAAAAAAATTAGCAGGGCGTGGTGGCGGGCGCCTGTAGTCCCAGCTACTCCACTCGGGAGGCTGAGGCAGGAGAATGGCTGGAACCCGGGAGGCGGAGCTTGCAGTGAGCCGAGATCGCACCACTGCACTCCAGTCTGGGCGACAGGGCGAGACTCCGTCTCAAAAAAAAAAAAAAAAAAAGTCACAGCCCTATCTACTGTCTGGGTGGTGAGTTGTGGGGAATCCAGTTTGACATCTGCAGTACACCAGGCACGTGATCCACGTCTGAGCCAGGTCTGCTTATTCTCCCATTGGGCAGCTGAGGACCGAGGCACACAGGGGCGGTGACTTGCCCTGGGATCCAGGTAGCCTGCAGGTGGACTGGCAGTAAGTGCTAGACTGTAAGCCCCACGAGGGCAGGGCTCTTGGTTTTGTTCTCTGATGTGTCTCAATATCTAGCACATAATAGGCACTCAATAAATACTTGTTGAATTCAAAAAAATAAATATCGGTTGAAGTCTCTACTTTCAGTTATTTTTGTTTATATACTCAGAAGTAGGACTGCTAGATCATATAATTCTGTTTAATTTTTTATGGAACCACCATACTTCAACATGAATATTTTTGTAGGATTAATGCAGCAAAGCTTAAATGCAAGTAATCATTATCCTCACTGCTGGTTTTAGTAAAATAATTAAAACAAAATTCACACACACTGTTTAATAACTTATTCGTGGCCAGGCACAGTGACTCACGCCTATAAAATCCTAGCACTTCGGGAGGCTGAGGCAGGTGGATTGCCTGAGCTCAGGAGTTCAAGACCATCCTAGGCAACACGGTGAAACCCCGTCTCTACTAAAATACAAAAAAAAAAAAATTAGATGGGCATGGCAGCTTGCACCTGCAATACCAACTACTTGGGAGGCTGAGACAGGAGAATCACTTGAACCTGGGAGGTGGAGGTTGCAGTGAGCCGAGATCGCACCATTGTACTCCAGCCTGGGTGACAGAGCAAGAGACTGTGTCTCAGAATAAATAAATAAATAAATAAATAAATAAATAAATAAATAAATTTTAAAAATAACTTATTTGTTGGAGTAAGTATCTTGCACAAGTTCCGTTGTTTCCAGTCCAGGATGTCTATAGCCATATGTGCTCTTCTCTCTGGAAGCCGTCCATTGATTTTTCTTGGTGATTTATGGCCTCTGATTCTTAATTATTAACTGTATTTTGATGGCAAAAATCCAAAAGCAGAAGAATTATCTACTGTGAAATTTGTTCATCAGAATTTAGGTTTGCATTTTCCTTTGCCTGCACTTTTTACTTATTTCCTCATACAAGTCAGAAATAAATGGCAGTTATGATCATAATCTGTTAACTTTTGATTTTGGTAGTTTATTTTGCAGTATTTTCCATCCACATTTGTAAGGAAACAACTTACTTAAAGGGTTGGAGGTCTTTTTTCCTTCTTTGATTATAGTACTGTCAATTGTGTTTTCATTTGGTTTTATGAGTCTTTTAATGTAAAAATGCAAACATTGTCCATTATAAAGGTTTTTCAAAATCCTTCCAGATCAAAAGCCTAGCCCAAGTATTCAATATCCAATACAGGTATGCATTTGTGAGAAACAACTTTTGACCTCAAAGTTTTTATAGGAATCAAATGCCAGACAAGCTGTTTTGTGTGTCTCATTAATAGCAAAACTGTGGTTTGCTTTATAATAATGTCAGTGGGATTTATAATAATGTCAGAGAGATGGGGTGACAAAGGATTAAAATAAAATTCAGTGAAACTTTTTCCCTAACATTTTATTTATGCATAAAACTGAAACCCAGTAATGACCCATATTTCTGTATTTACCTAATTCTGAAAATATAGCATTGCATGTTGTGAAAGTATAATCAAATTCGGAATAATATTCTTATTCTGAGGCCATGACGGTATATTGCTCCAAATTTGAAGTCTGCTTAAGTTTCTTAGCTGCATAGCCTTAAATCAACTCAGATCTTTAATTGTGTAAGTTCATTTATTCTGAACCAAATGTAATTTCCCTTTTAGGGAGGGATTGCCTTTAAAAGCCTCATTAATAAAATCCTAACGAGGTATCTTGGACATTGTAGAATACTGGTGTCATTTTTATGAGTTTAGAACAAAAGGATACAAAATATACAGATAAGATTACCTATCAAATACATGAAGGCAAAATGTTCCTGACAAAGTCAGAACATTCTAAAATAGTTTAAAAACGTTTCCAGTGCCTTCAAAAAACACCAAAGCAATTATTGCTGATATCTTATGAATCAAAGGTCTTGTTTTTTCATCATGACCTGAGTTCAGCCGGCACACTTTTGGAAAAAGAAATTGGCACTCCTTGTTGGATTGAGAACCTAGATGACCTTATGCCTCTAACGTAAAGGATATAAATGGTCTATTTGTGCAACTCTGCAAATATGCAAATACAGTGAATGCCAATTTATAAAATGAAAGGGCTAGTTGAATAAATGTAAATATAAAAACAGTAACAGGGACTCAAGGTCTGTAATAAATTAAGGCTGTGACTAAAATAGAAATCAGACTGGATAAATAATCATTGTAATAATGGCAGAACTTGAGCCCAACAACAAAATTTTACATAAGGTTATCAGTTGGCATCAAATGGAGGATCAGTGATAATGGGGAGCATAAGAAGAGTATACAGATTTTAGAGGCTGTTAAAATTGTCAAAGGTCAAAATAGTTTTTTAAATGTAGTGACACATCCATTCTCTTTTTTTTTTTTTTTTTTTTTTTTTTTTTTTTTTTTTGTGAGACGGAGTCTCGCTCTGTCACCCAGGCTAGAGTGCAGTGGCCGGATCTCAGCTCACTGCAAGCTCCGCCTCCCGGGTTTATGCCATTCTCCTGCCTCAGCCTCCCGAGCAGCTGGGACTACAGGCGCCCGCCACCTTGCCTGGCTAGTTTTTTTTTTGTATTTTTTAGTAGAGACGGGGTTTCACCGTGTTAGCCAGGATGGTCTCGATCTCTTGACCTCGTGATCCGCCCGTCTCGGCCTCCCAAAGTGCTGGGATTACAGGCTTGAGCCACCGCGCCCGGCCGACACATCCATTCTCTAGCTAGGCTCACACATCGTCTTGTGCCCATTGCACAATTTCAAATTAGCATTTTACTATGCGCTGACATCTGAAATACTAATAGACAAAAATCAGAATAATTGATCTGCAAAGAATCTCAAGAAATTATACCTGGTCTGCCCCCCAAACAAGAGAACACCTAAGCCATTTAAGATAAAATATGAACTCTCTAATTTATAAATTTTCAGGAAAATTGCTGCTGCTTTTCTTTCTGCTGGTACATTTATCTGTCTGGCTTTGTGACCTCCGAGTTCAGAGCATAAAGTACAACCTTGTTTAAATTAAACCTTTCTCTTTTCTTTATTTGGTCCTCAAAACTGCTGAGTTGATTTTAATATTAAAACAAACAAACAAAAATCTTACATCTAGCTTGTAACTTGCATGACAAATTCCACCGCAGGTGTTTTCTGATCCAGTGAGAAGTTCTTGAAAAATGAGAAGAAAGAGAGGTTTAATTGTAACATGGATACATTTTGGACTGGATGCCAGCCACTTGAATAAGGTATGTGTGTTTAAGCATAAAAACTGACTGTATTTTCCTTTTCTTATTTGAACATGCAAAACCTTTTATTTTCATAATCAAGGCCAAATGTATTTCATACTTTGGACTTAAACCAAAACTCAGAAGGAGGATGAAAGAGCATTACCCATGCAAGCAATAGATTTGAGGCAAGTTTTAATTGAAAAGAAAAATCCCACCATCTAGTCATTTTTAGAGCATGAGTTGCATTCACCACACAAATCCTTCATTATTCATACATGGCAGTATGTATTTAATGATTAAGTCTCTAAGGATTTATTTGATGGAATAATCTAAATTTCTTTTTTTAAAGGGCAAATGAAATGTGGTTTTTAATTCTTTAAAGAACAAGTTACAAAGCATGTAAAAATAAAACACAGGCTCTTAGTTTTTAAAACTATATCTACAATTTGCCTATCCATTGGTTTGCTCATCTGGATATCAGTAACATACAGACTTGATCTACTAATGGCTAATTATGCAGTTGTTTATCAGCTCATTTGAAACATTTTGAGATTCAGTCTAGCTCAGCAAATTACTGTGCTTAAGGCAGTTCTACATTCTAGAAAATTATAATATCCCCAGAAGGCAAAGAATTAATAATAAAAATCCTCTTTTGTAAAAGATTATCATTGCAGAGCAAATGGAGCAGATCTTCCCTATCCTACTGCATTTAATGTTCTCATTTTTCCCCTGAAACTTTGATGGAGAGGCAATGAGAATATCGCTGTTTTATTAACTTATTAAGAGGCACATTTATAGAACTCGTGCACTGTATTGATTCCTAAAGCTGCACTGCTGCTAAGAGCCAATAATCACAGAAAAGTCAGATGATTCCATTTCTTATCCCACAATGTTTCTGATACTCAGTAGAGCCCAAATTTTCACCCAATTCAGAAAGCCTGGTTTTTTTACTTCTCTCAGCCTCAATTTATTCATCTGTAAAATAGGTGTAATAACAAAAGGCAGCCTCTGGATGTTGTGAGAATGAGATAATGCAGTCAATAGACCTAATACAATGCCTGTAGATATTAAATATCGTTAGTTTTTGTCATTATTATGGTTATCATCATTACCTCTTGTGGTTCAGGAATCAAATAAAGATACATGCACTTAAGTAGCCATTTGCCTATGTAGTTATGTAACTTCTTCTGTAAATATTTTCATGTCACCTGAAAGTTTAAAATGAACTTACTGTAAGCCCCAGCACTATTTATCCCAAAACTGTCTTTCCAAGCTAATATCAAATCAGCCAGAATAGGCGGGCTACTAGTATGCAACTGGGATAAATTGCATAGACCCTAGTTTGGAATTATCCAACCTCATAGCAGCTGGGCTTGAAAACATGGTATTTTAAAGGCACTTGGTGCCTCTTCTATTGAATTGTGTCAAAGAGTTTTGAACTTTTTCTTCATGACTCAGATTTTGTAGCAGATTTTACCAACTTCATTAGCATTACATTGGATCATTGCATCATATTTTAAGAAGAAGAAAAGTCTTTAAAAACTATCCAGATGCCTTAGCTAGAACATATGAGACTATTTGCTTTATGGCATTATTTGCATAGAGTATATGTATCATTTCATTTATTTGTCAACCAGGACTACTTTTTCACTTCCTAGTAAGATTTGGTGTGCTACCACTAGCTTATAAATATGGCAGGGTGTGGTGGCTCATGCCTATAATCCCAGCACTTTGGGAGGCCGAAGCAGGTGGATCATTTGAGGTCAGGAGTTCGAGACCTGCCTGGCCAAAATGGTGAAACCCCATCTCTACTAAAAATACAAAAATTAGCTGGAGATGGTTGCTTGAACCCAGGAGGCACAGGTTGCAATGAGCCGAGATCGCACCACCTGGGGAGCAGAGCAAGACTCTGTCTCAAATAAATAAATATACAAATATGGCTGAAGCCCTGTGTTTTTATTTTAAACATGCTGCATCTTCTATATATTCAAGGAGTGCGATTAGTGCTACTTGGAAGCCAGTCCTAACGCTAAACTGTGGGGCTAATTGTGGCTCAACTTCCCCTTGCAATTCGTGGCTTCGAAACATCTCTGCCTCTCTTGATTCAGTAAAACAACCAATGTTGCAAGGCATTTCAACTTGGTGAACAACAGAAAGGCTGTGACGCTGTCTTTGCCCCCAAAATGTGAAAAGCAAACTATGTAATCACTAGGGACTAACTATATCAGTTAGTTTTTCTTTATTGCACTTCATATCCACTGCCTGACTTTTTCCTGTTTCAAAATGTGCAATCAATTTTTCCTGAATTTGAAAACTCCTAAGAATAGGCTCTTCTTTATTGTTCTCCAAATTTTCCTAGGGCAAATGAAGTCCATTACAGGGGGTTACATATGTAGAAGAGTAAAATGGGATCAGACAAATTAAAATCTCATGTAAGGCTCAGAAGCTAACAGCTGTACAAGTTGAGACCTGCTGGAAAGCAGTGACTCTGAAATAAATTCTTACTCTGTAGACGAATAGGACTTCAGCATGCTAGAGGAGAATGTTTTGAGCTCCTTCCAGCACTAGAAACTGTTCAAATGGGTTATTTTTACTCTACTTATTATAGAAGTGGTTTAGAAAAAGCTAACCTGCAAGGGGCAAAGTGTCTTTCACCAAAGGTTTCCAGAATCTCAATCAAACCCATTACCATGGGCCGTGAAAGCACCACCTTGTCATCACTACCATCACAGCTGTAGTCGTGCTGTTGTTATTGTTGAATCTCTCTGTTCAGCTTTTTATAATATCATAATTCACCCTAATGTTATGTGATTAGCAGCCTCTGTTGTGGTGAGAATTAAACACCACTCACATAGCGTCTGTGACCTTTCACCTCTTGTGGAGTCGGCCAGGGCTGCATTGGCTGGGAGACAAAGTGCAGAAACCCACAGAGTGCCACCTGCCCTCTCTCAGGCTGGGGGATAAATGGAAAATGTTACCTTCCAACTGTATGTGTTGCTCTCCAGGCAGCCATATTATGAAAGTTCAATTCCTCCACCTCCCTGTAAAAACTAATTTATTCTCATCCTAGGAAGATTTTTAAAGGATTTTGTAAAGTATTGCTTTAGTGCATTGATACAGAAGGCAAAGTGACTCTGTTAATAGAAAGATAACAGTTCTTTAATTTTATTTGCAACATCATTAGATTAATTGTATGTTGGACATTCAAAGAAGAGATTTGGGGAATTTGATGCCTCTTTGTTTTAGACTGAAGTCAGTACACATGTGACAAGACCACTGAATGAGAACTGTTGGCAAGAATGTACAAATAACTAACCATCCTCTTTATCTAATGAAATATGTTTTCTTCCATGCTAGTGTCCTAAGTTTTGTGGAACATCGTTAATCATAAACACTACAGGAATCTGTTATTTAATTTCACAGACCTTTCAGATCATAGCAGCAATTAGCCAAAATTAGAAAAGAATTTTCTTGCAACTAATATAAGATGAAAAGTAGTCAAGAGCGGATTTAAAAATATACAAAAAAAATAGGCATTTATAGAATGCTGCTATGTACCACTTCTATACTTTCGACAAGATTGACAATATGTAGCATGATGAGTTAAATTTTCTTTAGCCAAGTACAAAAATCTCTGCATTTTTTCTAATTACCACTTCCTACAAGTCAGCGCAAAGAGGAATAGACTCACTTGGTTCAGCTCAATTTCCACAGCTTGACAGGCATTGATATCAAAATTAATTCTAAGATGAAACTTCATAAAAGAAAATCCTATTTGACAAAAAGAACTATTGGGCTTGAATCAGAGTTGCATTTGCATTGTGAAGTCCCTTTTTTATTGTATATGAAATAATGCCTAAGGAGAGATTGAATATCCAGAGAGAGTTCATTTGAGGCATCCTGATAGTATCTGCCATATGCAAGTAAAGCAGAAGACGTTTTTATGACATCTTCGGAACTGGAAGATTGAATTACAGTTTTAGTAATCATCAGTTCCCCTTCTCCACTGTCACTTTTTGCTAATATATTGCATAGAAAAGACTTATGGTACCGGTTTTATAAGCTTGCAATAAAAATATAACAACTGTTGTATTAAATTATTTAAGTTGTAAACCATTGTGAAAAAGGAGAAAAAGTTTTATCGACGTGGAGGCTGAAAAACTGATTATGATGGAGAGCAAAATGTATTGTACTGATTACTCCCAAGTTTTTCTCTGGTTTAGCATATTGTAAATCTTCAGGGTATCTTTCAAATCAAGGTCTGGGTATGAGAAGTCCTTTTATTTATTGATTATTCAGAACGGGCCAGTGGCAAGAAAAAAATGGTACCTGTGTATTTCCAGGTTACCAATTTATTTTAGCAGAGTTATAAATGCAAATAAACTAAGAAAAAAAGAGGTAATATAGACTTAAGTAAATGTTTCTTTTTGATGAAAAGAAACCTAGTAAATATGAAATAACTACATCTCCCCAGGGAAATTTAGACTCTAGAGATTGTCTAATGTTTCTAGAAATATTTTTTTCTTACCTTATATTGGCTTTATGGGCACTTATTACCTCTACTATTTAGCAGACTACCATTCTGCTACTGTGTGCAAACATTCTAGGCTAGATGTTTTCTCCTCTCCAGGCGTCCTCCATATTCACTCCTTTGGAGAGTCTACCCTTCCATGTCAGACTTCTTCCGAAACTTTCTGTTAATCAGTGCCTCCTTTCTCTTGCATTTCTAGTCCACACGGAATCTTGGTGCATTCTCTGCCTTGCTCAGAATGTCAGCATTCCATATTTATGCACTGACACTCTTCCTCAGTGCCCCCAGGATTGCTGGACACTGAAACATGGTTCATATCAGGCTCTACCCACCTCCCCCTACACACACACACCTTGGCCACCCAGGAGAAAAAAGGAATTTCCTTGACTAAATAATCAGATTTTATTTATCTAAAGGAAATTAGAATAGGGAGACACGTATTTTTACCTGGTAAATCGAATCACCCAAGGGATGCACAATAACTGGG